CCACAAAAAAAAAATAAAAAAAAATTAAAAAAACAACAACAACAACAACAACAAAAACCAACGAAAAAAACGACAACAACAATTAAATAACAACAAAAAAGGGCGTGCAATGCCCAAGAAAATATGTAGTGAAGACCTGAGGCGATGATTTGTGAGACAATTTTCAGAGAATGTTAGGGTGTCCCGGTAGCTCAGTTGGTATAATGCTGGACTACGGAGCGGAAATGTACAACTGTGCGTTCTTGAACTCGGGGGTTTTCTGGAGTTTCCAAGGCTTTCAACCCATTTGGCTTGGCCTTGTCGGAGATGGACGCTAAATTCGGAGGTCCGGCGTCTTTAACAATTTAAGATGATTGAAAACGGCGCTAAAACCATACACTTACGTAAAGAAAGCGGGGACTTTGAGGGCGCCACTGGTACGCCCAACATCATTTCTTTTCCTCTGCTGTTTCTATCAATCTGTCTTGCTTGATCCCTGCACTTCATGACCATTATTGTGCCGATGTTCTTTTTAAAAATGTATTTAAAAAAATAAAACTCAAAAACTGAAATTTAAAGAAATAGTTTGAAATCAAGGATAGTCATCAACGTATCCTTTGAGGAAGAGTAAAGTGGTTTAGGCACGTTCTCAAACACACACCCAGGCCCCTTTTGCAACAGTTTACATTCTTTTTCTCTGTGTAAGGCCAAAGGACAGCAGCCGCTCAGGATATTGCGGGAGCAAGTCAAAGACTCCGTGGCATATTACAACGCACCCATTAAACCAAGCTTCTGGCCAGGAGCAGACGGCAGACAGACACACCTACACATTTGTGGGAAACCTCCTAGACTATGATAAACGATGATAGTAAACAGCGAAAGACATGATTTCGATAATTGAAACAGGGGGCTGACAGTGTTGGCGGGTCCACCCAGACAATAAGATAATACATTTAAAGCTTATAGTAGGAGCTAATCCTCGCGACTTAGATCGACAGATAATATTATGTCAATGGATGATGGTCGGGTCTATGGACGATACACTCAAAGAATTAAAGGAAAACTCAGCCAAGTTTTCCGGCTCCCATGACTTAGCCATATCAAGCTTCCAAGAAGAAATGACTGAATTTTGTGCGAATATTGAAAGGAAATGCCCAGATAAAAATTTTTTAAAAGAAGAATCGGTTGAAAAAGAAACTTCAGACAATCAACAGACCTACTCCTCTTTCCAAGCCTTCTCCCCAAACAAACGAACAAGTGAACAAACAAACAAACAAACAAACAAACAAACAAACAAACAAACAAGTAAACAAGTATACAAGCAAAACAAAACAAAAACAACAGCAACAAACAACGAACAAACACAAAAAGATAACGGATGGGAGAGAAGATGATAGATTTTTGTTCCGTCTTGTTTCTTTTTTTTTTCCTTTAAATAATTGATGGTTTTGTTTGTTTCCTTTGGCTGGTTAGTTTACTGGAAGGTCGTTTTTTTTAAATCAGTGGGAGTGGGACCAGAAACGTTTATGGGTCTTTCCCCAATCAGTCGCAGACATGCACGCACACACACAAACATACATGCACATACGCACACACACA